GTAAACCGCCGCCAGCAACAGTATTGTGCAGCAGTGAAGAGCCAGCCAGTGGTTATTTAGTCCCCAGAGGAAACTATAGAGGATGCACAAATATATCTAATTAAGTCAAGAAAAATATAATCCAATTAAGAAAACAGCTTGTGTAATGAAGAGTAGCAGTGACAGGAACTTGTTTTTCCACTTTGAGCTGTTAAGGATCAGCAGATGGAAATAGATATTATTAGGTCACAGCAGATCAGGCCCTCTTTTCAAAAATCTGTATGAACTGCATCAAACTTCACCCCCTTCCCCTTTGCATTCAAGGAATTTTTTTAGAATTCAGTTAAGGGAGTATTTTGGGCTCCTGGTGCAAATGCATTCATTACATGCTGCATTAGTTAATTGCACGTGTTGGTATGTCTGTCTTACTGCTTTTGAAGACTCGCTGCGAAACGGCTTCCCTTTTGTGTTTCTCTCCACCCATCACATTCTAGGATTCATCCAGGAAGACTACCTGCGAGAGCTGTTGACGACAATGGGAGACAGGTTCACAGATGAAGAGGTAGATGAGCTGTACAGAGAGGCACCCATCGACAAAAAGGGGAATTTCAACTACATTGAATTCACACGCATCCTGAAACACGGGGCAAAAGACAAGGATGACTGAGCAAAGCTCCTGATACCTGCAGATAGCTTCCCCCTCCAGTAATTTTGTTTCTCAGGATCTGTTTTTTCTTTTTTTTTCTTGGTGGGACCTTTTACATAGATTTTTTAACATCCCAGCTTTTTCCTCAGTGGACTCTGGGGCTGCTTAGGCACACCTGCACCTGTGTAATAAGACTGGAAATGGGCAGGGAGAGAGGGCAGCTTAGTGATAGAGGTTTAGGGACAAAGATCCATGAGCGTGGAGGCCCAGGTAAAAATGTCAGTGCTATTCATCCTAGATAGATTTTTACATTTTCAATGGTAGTTTTTAAAATAAAACACTGCTATATTAAGTATGTCATTAAAATTTTCATGCTCAAAGTGAACTGTTTTTCTAATCATATCTTGTAAATACTTTTGCAACTGTATGCAGTTGTGGTGTTACCTGGTTTTGCCTTAAAAATGAAGCATAAGTCACTTAAGCATACTGATGTTTGTACTTCAGTAACTGAGTATTTCACTTACTACTGTGAGCATATAGAATTAAGAAGCTCCCACCCTTCAAACTTTAGTGCATTGTAAATTAGTGATTTCTGTCCTAGACTTGCACATTAAAAAAATCTTACGGATGTAATTGAGGGGGGATTTTACCATCTTAGCATCTCCACTTCTTGACACCGAGTACAGCATTAATGCTGCTTTTTAAAAACTTACAGAAGACACCATCTGAGAGTAGAATGGTTGAGTAATGCTTCTTATCAGATTTGCAGGACTGACAATATAGAATTCATTACGTTTCATTGCAACCATTTATTTTTTCTTTCTTTCCTGTTCCCATCTTTTTTCAAAGCACAGTGAGAATGGGGCTGGATGAGGAAGGAAGGTGTGCTGTTTCTCTCCTTGTTTTCTTTCTGAAAATGTTACTCTTGCTTTGCAAATGAAACAATATACAATATATTTTTAAGAGCTTCTGCTGAGAGTGGTGCTTTGGGTGTGTGAGAAGGAGGCATTCCTTTTTGTTCTATTTCTTATAATTACATCTTCCAGTTCTTGTGGTATGGAATGCACAGCAGATTTTCTACGGTACTCTGAAGCAACTTTGCCATACTCTGCATACTTGTGGTTCTGGCTTTTTGGTCTTGAGAGAAAGGGTGATCAGAGTTGCTTCTGTCACTTCTAAGAATTGCATTCTTATCCCTTAAGAATTTAGGTTACAAAATTAAGAAATGTCATTTGGTGGCGAGTGTTTTGCTGGTTTTTGGTAGGCTGCTATTGCAAACTGAATCATAGAATAGTTTGGGTTGGAACAGACTTTTAAAGGTCATCTAGTCCAACCCCCCTGCAAGGAGCAGGGACATCTTCAACTAAACAAGGTTGTCCAACCTGATCCTGAATGTTTCCAGGGATGGGGCACCTACCACCTCTCTGGGCAGCCTGTGCCAGGGTTTCACCACCCTCATTGTGGAAAATTTCTTCCTTATATCAAGTCTAAATCTACCCTCTTTCAGTTTAAAACAATTACCCCTTGTCCTATTGCAACAGGCCCTGCTAAAAAGTCTGTCCCCATCTTTCTTATAAGCCCCCTTTAAGTACTGGAAGGCTGCAAGAAGGTCTCCCTGGAGCCTTCTCTTCTCCAGGCTGAACAACCCCAACTCTCTCAGCTTGTCCTCATAGGAGAGGTGTTCCATCCCCCTGGTCATTTTGTGGCACTCCAACAGGTCCCTGTCTTTCCTGTGCTGAGGGCTCCAGAGCTGGACACAGGACTCCAGGTGGGGTCTCACCAGAGCGGAGCAGAGGGGCAGAATCCCCTCCCTTGACCTGCTGGCCACCCTGCTTTGGATGCAGCCCAGGATATGGTTGGCCTTCTGGGCTGCGAGCGCACATTGCCGCCTCATGTCCAGCTTTTCATCCACCAGGACCCCCAAGTCCTTCTCGGCAGGGCTGCCCTCGATGTTTTCATCCCTCAGCCTGTATTGATACCATGGCGGTTGCCCCGACCCAAGTGCAGGACAGTGATAATAAAGTTATCAGGTCTGATAACTGAACTTCTAATAAATTTCATTAGAGGACAGTGATTATTTGTTTTAGAAATAGACTGTTCTTTTATGAACAACCTATGAGGACTGTCCTCTTTTGAGAAGGAACAATGCCATAAAAATCATTCACTGGTACCTGTAAGAAAAAGCTCTGAAGCTTCTGCTCTGCCTCAGTTCGCTGTTAGCTTTGCAAAAGAGTGGGAACTGTGCGAACACATAAAGGACCACAGGATGCCAACAGTAGGACTGTAAGAAAAGTATAGAAGACGCTGAAAAACAGAGTGTAACGGGTTCAAAACACTTTCAGAGAAGACAGAAGAAATCCAAATGCTTCAAAATTAAGTTTTCTCTTGGTTGCTGCTTTTTTTCTGAAAATATTTACATTTAGAGGGGCAGCAATAACAAATTTGAAAAAGAACTTTCGTAATTGATTCTGTAAACTATCAGTGAAACCACTTTCGCCGTGTCTGAAGGAGGCGAAGTCGGCCAGGTCCTCACCAGCCCGAGGTCCCCACTGGCTGAGGACAGCCTCGCTCCTTCCCTCCGGGCCCTCCTCGGGAGGGAGCAGGCTGCAGCTGGAGGCCGCTCTCCAGAGCCATCAGTAGGTGGCATTGCAGCTCCTAGCACTAATTTAGCGGCTGGGCAAATGGCTCACAACACAGTTTTTTGTAGGTTTGGGTTGTTTTTTTCCGAGTCCCGAAGAGCTCATTTGCTGCAGCGTACAGAGGAAAATGCAATCAGTTCCCACAGAAGCTCTGCTCCTACCACAACAAGGGCTCATGCTCTCGGGATTTTTCAAATTGCAGCTTTTGTATGGGCTGAATTTTGGCTCTTTAATCAAATTCATTCATTACAAAAGAAAGGGAAAAGAGGTATCTGCAAGCTGCTCTTACAGTCATGTATGTACAAACACACATGTGGTGTATGTTTGAAAAAGATTAGTTTTCAGAAGGACTTAAGGCTGCTTTTGTAACTCAAACCAGGCACACTGCTCATGCGGTTCTTGGTATCTCAGTAAGTGCTCTCGTTGCTCTGTAAGATTAGCTTTGAAAAACTACCCCAAAATTCAAATTTGTATCTTTGCATAAGTCTGTTTACATATGAAAGACTAAAACCTGTGGTATAAACGAAACTCTTGAGGCTGGGAGTGAGGCAGCTGGTATTTATCTATAACAATAAATGCCAGTTGTTAAACACCAGTGCTTGCTTACGGACCAGGGCTACATTGCTGTATAGCAACACCTATATGCCATTTGGTCTTGCGATGATGATGAACTGTCATTCACTAACGCTATTGTTCTTAGCCTTGCCTTTAGGAGAATCTTTGTTTTACCTTCTCAAGTTTAATGGCATTTAATGCACTGATGCAGACGTGTCAGACAGGCTGATAAAAAAGGACTTTTGGTGGGTAATTCAGAGGCCTGGGATTTCTCTTGCAAAGAAATTTTAAACCCCCGCTCACCTCTGATACAGAAGGTGCCTTAAAGTCTGTGTCGGTCTGGAACCAGTAACACTGGTTTTATAGACTAGCTGCAGTTCTCAGTCCTGGCAAAGTCAATCGCAGTCAGAGCCACACAGAATCTCTGAGGGTTCTTAGTGAAGTGGGTCAGCAGAACATGGAGGCGTTTATGGTGGGATGTCTTTCTCCTTTTTTTTTTTTTTTTTTTTTTTACTTCATTCAGTTGTTTTGTAGCTAGGTCACTTGAGTGGAGGGCTGGAACAATGTGGCCTTGAATCGTCTCAGCTAGAAGAGAGAATTAAAAGTAGGTCTGCAACATTCAGGCTGAATGTTCACTGAACAATTGAATAAAGGAGGGTGGAACCGCCGCAAGCAGCTGTGTTTCTTATTGTGCTGCCTTTTTTTTTTTTCTTTTTTGGCAAATGAAGGAGCTTAGGCAATGATCTCAGCAGAAGGGATTAAAGAGATCAATTCTACCTGAAGAAAGACTCTTTCCTGCTCTTGAAGGTGAAGTTCCCAAAAGCTATGATTCACAACTGGAGCTGGTATGCTTGTTTCCTGTGGTTGCAGAGGCAACAGAGCTGAACTCTAAATGAGTTTTAGCTTATAAACCGTTTCCTCTCCAGGGCTGTTTGTAAATGTTTTCCTCTCCAGGGCTGTTTGTGAGATGCAGTGCCTCACCAGGGAACTGTCTCACACATCCTGTATCTGGCCTAACACCCCACACGCGCTCCTCATCAGCATAGGTAATGACTTACAAAGGTTGTCCCTGTCCTTACTCTGCTTCAGCGTTGTGCGCTGTAAGCTGCTGTGGCTCAGCACCCGATTATCCTTGAGCAACTCGGCTATCTCTGTACTGGGGGCAGTCATTTTGTAAGCTCTGCTGTCCCTACTTGTGAGTTACAGCCCAACTCCTGTAGAAAGAGCGGTGGTGACTCCTTACCTTCTCTTCGGTATTTCTTGTTGATGAGATTCAGCAGATCCTTACTCAGTGCGCTTGTTTTAATAGTTACTAATTTTAGTGCCTAGCTCCCCTAGAAGGGGAAAGAGCAGCATGTGTCGATCTGGCAGGCGTGCCTCACTGTGAATAGTACCAATGTTGTCAAGCATTATTCCCTGTCATCCAGATACCAAGTCGCGGGTATTTAATACGACAACATCCAAATGTCAAACAGAATGATGCATGGTCTAAAAAACAAGAGAGTCTCAAGAGAATTCCTATCACCAGGGTGGCAGCATCTAAATACTAGGCACTCGGTGTGACCTTTGTGGACTGTTTCCTAGCGGCAGGCATGGTTTATATTGCTATTCAAATAACCTTAGCTAACTGCTGACTCATCTCTAGTTCCACTGCACGCATCCCGTTGCTTAAGTAAAAAAATTGTGTTAGTAGCACTCATTAGCTGTGAAAGGCAAACCTAACTAGAATTTCTGTGTAATCATCACGAGATCGAAGTGTCATGTAAACTGAGTATTTAAAAATATAAAAAAAAGCTCACACAACTTTAATAGGAATGCATACCAGTCCCAGCAGGCTTCTTTCAGTGAGTAGGTAAGAGTTGCAAATTAAAGATACTTGCAGCTAGAAACTTCCTTTTCAAATAACTGCAGGTCACTGTGACATTGGAAATGACTGCAAAAAGCTACAGTGAGACCACAATCATTGCACACTGCCCCCCACACACATACACAAGATTTCCTGAGAAATCTGCACAGCGCTATGCCCCACAGCCCTAGCAAGCTTCAAAGCTATAGGGCTGGAGTCAGTTAAAAGGGGAGTTGATAAGTTTCATGTTAGCAAGATAAGC